GCCTAGTTATGTTAACAATAAAAGAGGAAAAGAAATTGGTAAATCATAGTATGATACTGTCCTTGGTCCTTAAGAATAGGTCAAGTTGCCTCTTGAAGGACTCCTGAGAAGTCGCTTGGACTAGCTCAGCCGGCAGCGAATTCCAGCTTTTGACAACTCTTAAGGAGTAGAAGTTGTGTCTACATCCCGTCTTGCTATGTCGAGTTTCCAGTTTCTGGGTGTTACCCCTTAGGTTAGTATTTGAACTAAGCTTGAGTAGGTGTTTAAGAGGATGTCCAGAAGTGTTAAGAATACTATAAGCCATTAATAAATCACCTCTAAGACGCCTATACTCTAATGGGTAAAGGTCTAGTGAATGGAGGCGTTCTTCGTAAGGCTTAGATTTGAGTCCGCGAACTGATTTCGTGGCTCACCGTTGGATACGCTCCAAAGTGACCTTGTCCTTTTGGAGTGAGGGGGGAGTACTATATTTCCGTACTCTAAATGGGGACGGATAAAACTATTGAAGATTGTATGGAAAGTTCTTCCGTCAAACTGGCCAAAAATGCGCTTCAATGTTACCAGTGAAAGGTTTGCTCGGAAGGCATTTTTGTCACAATTAGCGTAAGACTTTAAATCATGGGGCACCAGGACTCCTCAATCTTTTTCGACTTGGGATACTACTAGAGAGGAATTTCTTAAGTTATAACTGTAGTCTGCGACATGTCGCAGATGGACTACTTTACACTTTGAAGTGTTAAACATAAGTCCGTTATCGTCTGCCCAACTTTGAAGTCGAGTCAGATCCTCCTGAAGTGCCTGTGTATCGTCTTGGTTGCGTATCTCTCTCCAAAGTTTCACGTCATCGGCAAAAAGTAGTACGTCTGACGTTACCTGTTGAGGAAGATCGTTTATGTAGATCAAGAAGAGGAGAGGCCCTAATACTGAGCCCTGGGGAACCCCACTAGGACATTCCATAGCCTGAGATAAAGTGAAATTAACCCTAACCTTAAAGTGTCGATTTTCTAGGTATGAAGTAAGCCAATCGATTAGAGGTGGTTTGATACCTAGTCGTTTGAGCTTGTTGATAAGACACAAGTGGTTAACTTTATCAAAAGCTTTTGAGAAATCAAGGTATATAATATCAACCTTTCCCTTGCGATCGAGGATGCTTGTCCATCTGTCCACCGCAGTCAGCAGGTTGGTTATAAAAGAGTAACCCTTCCTGAAACCATGCTGTTGGGGTGAGAAGTATAAGGACAGTAGATAATCGTTTAAACCGTCGCATATCAGGGACTCCATGAGTTTTGAAGGTAATGACAGAAGAGCCACCGGCCGATAACTTGAGGGTTCATTGCGTCGACCCCCTTTGAAAATTGGTGTGATGTGAGCCAACTTCCAATTTTCCGGTAATTTGCCTTGGCTTAGCGAGTGTGAAAACATCACGCTAAGCGGCGTTGCCAGGATTGAGGCTGCCTCCCTCAGTATGGCAGAATGAACCATATCCGGGCCAGGAGAAGTATCTAGTCTTAAGTGCTGCAGTTTCCGGAACACCAAGTCAGCGCTTAGGTTCACTTCGGAAAGCCCTGTGGAATTACAGGTGAAAGTGTCGTCAATAGAGTTGATGTCAGCCGGCTGAAATGTTTCAGAGTAGTGTGCCGCCAGAAGGTTAGCGGCGTCACCATCGTTGTTGGTTGGGCCGTTAAGACCTAGCAGTTGAGAAACTCATGTTTTGGCTTGACGAAAAGAGGCTGCGTAACGGAGTAGGCTTCTAGGGTTCGAGGCAAATTTGTCCATAAGCTTTGTCTGATAATGAAGCCTGTCTTCTCTTATAGCCTTCGTGCATATGTTCCTGATATGTTTGAATTGCCTATACGCTCCGTCGTTGTCAGTTCGTTTGTATTCCGCCCAACAGTGCCTTTTACGGCTTAGCAGGCGAAAGGTACGGTTCTTGATTATTGTAGGTGGCTTACAGCTTTTGTGAACCGTTTGAGGAACTGAATGGTTTGTAGCACATAAGAGCGTGTGCAGTAAGAAGTTCCAGTGACCGTCCACATCGAGTTGGGGGTGAACATCCCAAACCACCTGTTGTAGATAGTCGTGTAGAGCTGGCACATTCAGCCGTTTAAAATTCCAATGCAAATTATTGTTGGGATACCTTAACTTAGTTTTGATGACAAAACTGAAGGCTATGACGGCATGATCGCTCTTTCCCAGAGGAGCCAGGATTGAGAGGTTGTCAACTAGGAATTCTTCGTTTGTGAATACACAGTCTAACCGCGATGGTGTCTGACTGTTTCTCCAACGAGTTGCCGACCTCACATTTTCATATAAGCCCAAGTCATCGATGAGGTTGAAGAACCGAGCTTCAATTGAGTTGTCACCTCCAGTATACGTGTGTTCCACGAAGTTGACTCTAGGAAGATTAAAGTCCCCTAAAATCAGGATATGTGTGAAACCGAGACGGGTAGAGCGGGATAGTCCATCCAGCATACGACTATCGTACTCGATGTCAGCAGTTGGCTTCCTGTAAATGACACCGACTAGACACCTCGAAGTGCTAGACAATCTTACGGAGCACCATATGGATTCCTCAAGATTGTTAAACTCGAGGTTGTGAACTTGGTGCACCTCCAAGCAAGAGCTTACGTATATGGCTACTCCGCCTCCCAATTCCTGTTGTTCTGTCGTTACGGAACAAAGTCATCCCTGGTAATTCTAACTGTTGGTCCGAGAACTGAGAAGATATCCAGGTTTCAGATATTCCTATCAGGTGGGCTTTGTTAGCGTTGCAAAGTTCACGTAATTCATCCAGTTTGTTTGGTAGACTCGAGGCGTTCATATATAAGCAGTTTATGCTTTCAATTTGGAACGCGTGAGCTTCGTCCTGTTTTTCTGTATGAGCCTTATGTGAATGGACAGGTAGCCCACCCATGTGAGGTTTACCGAGGTGGTAGGCCCTGTCCTTTACACGTTTTTCTATCGTTTAGACAATCCACAAGTGGAATGGTCAGCTCCGACTTGCCTTTGTGCTTGGTCCTGGCTTTATATGGCCTATCCGGGTGCATGTGGATTTCAGGTGGCAATCGACGTCTGTTGGCACGAAATGCTTCCAGAACTGCAGCCGCCATGTGGGAAGATGGGAAGGTTATCTTCATTAGACGGGGTCTAAGATCACCGTCCTTCTTGGCTAATCTCGTCACATGCTGAGTCAGTATGTGTTTGAGCCTCAAGGACTGTTTGATGAATTTCCATTCCCTGATGTCAGAATTTGATTGAGTAGGGTCTGCATTCTCCGGTATACCTTGCACAATTACGTTTCTTCCGCGGAAAAACTTCTCGCGAGATTCTTTAGGGATCTTTCGTATGATATTGCGCTCAGAGAACGGTATGTCGGGCAATATTCTTACGTTACCATCTGATTTCAGCAAGTGACTTGCTAGTAAGAGGTCCTCTACATCGGTAGCATTCTTAAGTGTTACTCGGAGAAGCCTTGGGTGATTTAGATGCTTAGAGTCCTTTCCTCTAGAGAGCCGGGTGACCATCAAAGGCTCTATTCTAGGAAGTCCTAGCTTCTTGTTCAATTCACCCCAGAGCATCCTGTCGTTTCTGTCCTGCAGACTGAGAGGAAGGTCAGGATTATCAACGAGGTTCATGATAATGAGAGAGTCGTCACAAACTGTTGTTAATTTACCAGGTTTCACGGCGGATTCAAGTTTAATGACTTGCTGTTTGGAGGTCAGTGTGCGTTTATGAGGCTTGGGCTCTTTTTTGACCGGACGAACAGTCTTCGGAGTAGACTGTGCGACCAAATCACCAGTTAATTTCCGTACAGCAACACTTGGGTTGCTCGGCTTAGGCGGTGATGCCTGGTTCTTTTAGGCTTTCTTAACTTGAGTCGAATCACCTACAGGGTTTTTGGGAACCACTGTTGAGTTCAGGGACCCTGAGCGGGGAGACCCGAGTTTGCTTAGGGAGTCTAATACATTCGACGTAATGATGGTGCTGAGCCTCGACACGTCATCATTAGTGTTGATGGATGCTCCATCGATGGTGTACCTTTCGACATCCCTGTTTTTGTATCCGTCGCACGCTCTTGTTTGTCTACCGGTTTTCTTACTGTCGTTGTCCAAGTTAACTGACAACTTGTTCCGAAGATCTGTCAGTAGGACAATGATGTTACTCAGCAAAACTACAGCATCCGTGCTGCACGTGACACATACCCATTTTTGGTCTGACTTGCTGAGTCTGTTGTAAGCAGTTGATGTCAGATCTGTGCATGCTTCGTGGAACCAACCTTTGCAGTTGTCGCACTGAATGCCAGTTGCAACAGAAAAACGGCATCCCGGACGTTTGCATGAGTTTTTATATGACTATGTTGAAGCAAACTATGTTATAGATGCTTGCAAGAGCCTAAGACCTTTAAAAAACACTAAAAAGCACACTGAAAACGGACAAAAATGGATAAAACGAGTGTTATAAACTGAAACTAGTCTATACGTGAAAAACAAAAACAAACCGAATAGTAAACTGAGGCAAAACCACAGGTAACTATTAAATATGGTGAAACTCAAAAAAGTAATCTACCGAACGTATAGCTCAGGATAGATTCTTTAGAACTGAAATGGTACTTTTGTTGCGTAAGAACACAGCAAAAGTTTGATAAATGCAAATCACGTTATTACTAAACTTCCCGTTTGAAAATCACTGGTACAATTGGTTATAATAATGATTGTTTCCATTAAATCAATCACGTTCTCTTGATAAAAGTAGGTCACTACAGGGTAATGAATTCCACTCAACGAGGGGAAACTGATATTATGCATCATCACGATGGCATCGTTTTTTTACTTGAAGGATGGACGTTATCAGAAAAAATTGTGGCTGAACATAATCCAAATCTAAAAATGTATTGATTTGGCCGCTTCTGCAAAACTCAAACTGTCGAAGTGACGCACCAATCGTTTTGCAACAGCTTGACCTTCAAGTGCTCAGCAACCTCCATCAGTGGACGGTACCCTAGAAGCGTTGCCGTTTTTTGTAACGGGGTTGGTTACTTACTTGCAGTTGCGATCTCAAGTTTTTCTTAATTTAAGGCTTGTGTTATTGCTGTCTCTTACTTTCCTTTATAAATGTAAGTGCGTTGTTAACGCTTAATGAGTAGTGGGCTCACTTCTTTCCTCTTTTCCACATCTCTCCATTCTATCCCAAGCTGCCAATTTTGGAGAAGCCGCTATAGTAAATTTAGGGGAAATGGCACAAAAACCCCAAAATTTACCCAGACCTGGGGAAATCCCCAAAGTTGGGAGCTTGGGAGTACACAATGTACCTTCTGGTTAAACCTGAACCACTACAGTGTCAGGCGTTCGGGATTTCATTTTGTCAACTTTTAGTCCTAAGCATCACATTATTTTCACCACATACTAAATGCATTCTGTGAGCTCTCTGATTTGTCGACTCACTTTATCTGTGATAAAGAGCTAATCACTCCTTATTCCTAAATTCTGCTTCTAACTTCGGATCCTGACCCCTCACTAATTTGTTGCTAAATTTTTATACTTGTAAATGACTAGTTTCTCAAGGGCATTGTAGTGTATTCTGAAGGTTTCCCATTAGTCATATAGCTCGCAAATCATCTATGTAGTTATTTGTGAGTCGAGGAAATATAATATACCGGGGTCGTAATTTTTCAGACCTAGTTGGTTAAGTGTGCCGAAAGACCACTGAACTATTCATTGTTTACTAGTAGCTCGATATACACTTGATATTATTTATACTCAGCTCCACATTAAGTTGAAAAACCCACAGATACATTATTGTGCAGAAATAGAAGACTTAATACTTAGTACGTATTAACATCGGAGTTGAGTAACGAGAAAACCAAAAATAGGTTCCAAGAACAACTGAGTTCACACTTAGGTAGTTCTGAAGACGAGGCTGACCCAGATGTTGCTTGGAAAGCCACACAAGCAGCTGTGGAAGCAGCAGTGACATCTATTAGCAACTTAAACCACAGAGTTTCAAAGAACCAGTGGATTTCCTCAAAGTCTATCACACTGATGGATTCTCGCAAACTCGTCCCATCAGGTTCCGAACACGATGAAGAGCGACAACAAATCAGATCTAGGTTAAGAAAAAGTCTGAGAAACGACCGTGAGCAGTGGTGGGCAACGAAAGCAAAAGAGGTGGAAAAAGGCAGCGACTATAGGGAACACAAGACAGCTTTATAGACTAATAAAAGAAACTGGAATTAATAAGTCAAGTGTAAGTGAGATTATATCGGAAAAAGACGATACACTCATCTGCTCCCAGTCCAGGCGTTTAGAACGATGGGCGGAACATTTCAGAGAACAGTTCAGCTGGCCTTCAGCTACTCTACAACTACCCTCCATTCCCAGACAGCGTGAATGGAACATTGAAGTAGGTCCCCCAACTCTTGCTGAAGTTCAAAAGGCTATAGATAATCTGAAACGAGGAAGGGAAGCTGGTCCAGATGGACTGGCTCCAGAAGTCTTTAAGGATGGTGGTCCAATTTTAGCGATTAGGTTGACTAATATTTTAGCTAAGATCTGGGAGTTAGACGTTATTCCATCTGACTGGTCACAATCACTTATCGTCCCAATATATAAGAGAGGGTTGAAATCATCCTGTGACAACCATAGAAAGATTAGGTTAACTAATATAGTATCTAAAATACTAGCCTCGATAATTATCAGACGCCTAACTAAGATTCGTGAACTGCAAACACGAGAGAACCAAGCTGGCTTCAGACCTGGTCGTGGCTGCATCGACCACATATTCACCATTCGTCAGGTTCTAGAACACAGGCATACTTATCGGCGTCCGACGATGGTGGTATTTCTTGACTTAAAAGCAGCATTTGACTCGGTAGACCGCGAGATTCTGTGGCAGTGTCTGTCATTGAAAGGCGTACCCCAGAAGTACATAAACCTTGTAAAGGCTCTTTACTCGAACACTGCTAGTCGAGTCAGAGCTTATGGCGAACTGTCATCTACTTTTGCAACCTCAAGTGGTGTCCGTCAAGGATGTCCACTTTCCCCATTTTTGTTTAACTTCATCATAGATCTACTGATGGAAATAACTTTCTCGTTGACTGAATCTTCGGGTACTGATCTCCATCCAGGAGGTCCACTTATCGACTTAGAATACGCAGATGACATAGTCCTGTTTGGTGAAGACGCTGACAAAAGGCAGAGTCTTCTGGTAGCACTGAGCAACAATGCCAGGATATTTGGAATGCGCTTCTCTCCCTCGAAATGCAAGTTGTTGCTTCAGGACTGGTCTGCGTCAACACCTGAACTAAGGATAGAAAGTGAAGTAGTCGAACGCGTTGACAACTTCACTTATCTTGGAAGTCTGATCAGCCCTAATGGGTTGGTATCGGACGAAATCTCAGCACGGATTCGAAAAGCTCGTTTGGCTTTTGCCAACTTACGTCACCTGTGGCGAAGGCGAGATATCCGTCTATCAATAAAAGGACGAGTATACTGCGCGGCAGTCCGTTCTGTTTTACTTTACGGCAGCGAAACATGGCCATTAAGAGTAGAAGACACTCGTAAGCTATTAGTATTTGACCACAGATGCCTTAGAAATATTGCTGGCGTCTGCTGGGACCACCGGGTAAGTAATAGTGAGGTTAGACGCAGGGTATTAGGAAATGATGGTAAATCAGTTGATGAGGTTATGAATCTTCATCGACTGAGATGGTTGGGCCACGTGTTACGTATGCCTGAACACCGATTACCACGACGTGCAATGCTATCCGATATTGGAAATGGTTGGAAGAAAGTTAGGGGTGGCCAAACCAAAACGTGGCATCACTCATTGAAGTCACTAACTTCTGGTCTGAGCCATGTTGGTAGGTGCAGACTACTTGGTTGGGGTCCGCGTGACTATCGTGACCAATGGTTGGAGACTCTTGGTGACATGGCTCAGAATCGATCACAATAGCATATGTGTATACACTCTCTGTCTTTCCATAAACTATGAGATTAAAATCACTTCATATCTTTCTTTCTACGTACCAATTCTTTCTTCTTGTACTATATCTCTATATGCAATCTTCTCTTATTTATTACCACCTTTTACCTAACCACTGTTATGAATCCGGTGTTCATCTTGTTGTGCTGATGCAGTATGGCAACCTGGACCGATGCACACATGTGCCTGGTCCTACGTCGTAGCTGACTGACTGACATCGGATCAGACTTCACCCATGACATCAACATAATGGAGAATCTACAGAAAGATGAAACTAACATGATTGGACACTGCAATGATGAAAAGGGTTTGTAGTTTGGATGGATGCTTTTGATTGTATTATGGTCTCTGAGCTTGGTGACTTACTAAGTCTTCATTTTCGTTCTGGTCATCATCCATACTTCTACGTATGAGAGAGTATTTCTCTTTCTGTCGTCTCAAGTGAGCCAGTCACAGTTTCTTTAGTTTTGTGGATCAATAGTGTTTCTATTTTAGTATTGTGTTTTGATAAAAAATTCAAGGTACCAGATATTTTCATCATATATCGAGCAACAAAAGTATGAATACCTTAAACAACTTATAACACTGCTACTTAAGCTTTTGTTTTGCATTTCTTTTCGTTGTGTGAGGTTATTAAATATAGTTTACTCTCAAAATGATTATTTCCTGACCGTTTTAATTTAAAAACCACTCGTTCTAGATGAATAAGGTTATGTACAATCCAGGACGTATTCAACTGTTCAATCTACTGAACGGAATATTATGCGTTTATAAATCACCTGGGTTGAATGTTGAAAAATTAACCAGAAATGTTAAATGCTCATTGGCAGATGGTTTGTCACTTTATATAAAATCAATTGGTTTTTTCACTAATAGCTTTTAATTCACTTCCAGCTGAGAAACAGTCGATCAGAACGACCATTCAGACATCCGGTGATGTCAACTGTACTCTACCAAAAATAATTACAGAACCTGATATTGTTGATAGCGATCTTGGTACTTGAGTAATGTATTTCATTTATTTATTTATCTAATTCAAGTATTGGGTAAACGTTTTCTTCCAGGAGATATTATGTTATATCCTATTGATCCCCTTAGTGATTTTATGTCTGGTGTGCAAGGTGAGTTTTGTGTTTGTTTATGTTTGTTTATTTAATAGTCTATGGTATTGGAGAAGATGGTATTTACAATTATGCTGATAAGTTCGAACAATCTTCTTGGCTTAAAACCTATCACTTAACATGCATGATGGGACGTGCATCAACTGATGGAACAGCCAATAGTACAACATTACTAAGAGCTTCATGGAGTGAGTGATAACTCCTAAATAATATTTGAGAATAAATTCTTAATTTTGTTTGGGATCTCATCTATCTGTGGTTGTTTTTCCTGGAGTTGGTCATTGAAAAATAGACCTTTGTTAGACTGTTTTAGACAGGTCGCAATAGCATAAATACTTTCGTTTTTATGTTTGACTGAATCCTGAGCACTTTGTTCCTGCAGTCTCACTTCTTAATTGTTTACTTAATGTGGTCACTCACTTTAAATTACATAGTGTTTGTGTATTGTTGAGTTAATGGGTCAGTTCGACAGTTACCATTTATTATTAAGCTAGACTAATATGATTGTGAAATCTGCCTTTTCGGCAAAATCTCTGTCAGTATAGCTCAAAAGTATGTAGAAAAGGTGATCTAGTAGCATTGTGATCGAATTTCGAGTGAAAAGTACATAAAGCCGTGCATACATGTATGCAAGACTAGATCTCTGGCAACTTGAACCGATGCATATATGTGCCTGGTCCCACATTGTAGCTGACTGACTGAGATCTCTGTATATATTGTATGACTTACCAAAAGGTTTTCTTATCTACACGGCCTAGAAGGATTAACTCGGTCTAGGTGATATATAACAGTTTGTGAGTAATCCAACCAAAATTTAAATAGTATCATGCAAACACTTTCATTTTAAAACGTAATACGTAGCGCATGCGTTGATGATGCGTAGGTTAAAGTAAGCCATGACTACCTAGTGAACGAAGACCGATATATCTAGCTATATTAGCCATTAGTCTATGTAAGACTGATTTTACTTGTGTTCTGCTTACTGACTGCTCGTAACTTTGTGTCTGTAAACTATCGTGTGGTTTTATCTGGTTTTCAATCGGTTGTCAGATAATTGAGTAGAGTGCATCACATGATTAAGTATTGTGATCTCTATCGATCAACTCATCGAGTGACCAGTCTAGAGTAAAGTTATGCCGATCTGTGTATCGAGTGTCTATTATCGGATAGTCCAGTGTCCAGCACATAGTCAATCAAATTCATTCCCAATATATCAATTAACCGCTATACTTTTAAGAACCTCACAACTATTATTCGTACATGCCATGGTGTATATTGTTTCCCTGTTTTCAAATGGGAAACGTGTTCTTAGCCTATGTAAAGAAAAAAAAGGTGACTGTTATATTACAAAATTGGTAAGAATTAGTCATTTTATGTAACCTACATTTATTGACTATTAGTTTCTGTTATAAAATTGTTTCTCATTACGGATTGAAATCAGCTGGTAAGTTGTGTGAGGAAGGAGTAATCACATAACCCAGTAAATCAGTTTCACTTGTTAGTTCTAACATTTCAATCCTGTGGTATTGAAAATTGTGTTTATACATTGTTATTGATCTGAACGTCTAGGACTGCCCAGTTCAATTAATTCAAATTTCTATGTTGACTAATATCAGCGAAATGTGAATTCAGATATATTTTTAGTGCATAATAAATTTTCTGTTGTCTTAGTCTTCTGCCTTACGTTACGCTGTATTAGTTTCTGCTCAGTTATAATACTGAAAGCTACTAGAGTTAATCGCACTGTATCGCAGTTATAAATATAAACTATGGGGTTTCAAGTCATTAATCTAAATGGCAACATGCCCACCTTATTCACATTTTAATCAACTAAATATTAGTTTGTTAGTGCCTGTTCCGTAAATGTGAATGTGTATAATTTCAACCATTTAATGGTTTTTCTTTTGTATCAGGACATGTTCAAAAATGCAAAATAGATCAGGTTCTTGTTGGACTACAAGCTCAATTCAATGCTTCTGGATTATTACAAGCAGGACTTCGTCCTAATTCACAAAATGCATATCTAGCACTGTGTGGTCGTAGAGCTGGCAGTGATCTTCGTCCGGTAAAACCCACACACGGCGTAGAGGATTATGAAGGAGAGGAACAGTTACTTTCACCATGGGAACGTCCAATGCCAGATGAAAATCGAAATCCCGAAACGCTACCTAATCGTAAATATGAATGGGAAGAAGAAAGAAGGCAAATGGCACCTTATGTAAATGCGTTGTGTTGTGTGGATTTTGATCCTCCGTTTTTTACAATTGGTATGTTGATTTTTATTTAATCCGCAAAAGTTTTTGGGTTTTATAAAATGCTAAGATATTTATTCTATAGTTTTTGTAAAATGTTATTCTCCTTGGTTATTAAAATGAAGCAAATGTTTTCGTATATTTTCATTGGTTATGAACATTTGGTAGGTACAATGGAGTGTCAATAGTTGGTTTTTCACTTTTGATTATGATTACTATTAGCTCAGATATGTTCTATTTGTTCAGAATCTTAGATTTTGTTTTCATTATTAGGCTTCAAATCAGTTATTCGAATGTACTATGTAAATGTCTGTACCCACCAGTTCAGTGCCTAAACGTTTCTTCTCATTCTTTCAATCTTGTCTTCAATATCCCTGTTATACTATTAAAATACATATGATTCCTGTGACTTACTTCATATTTCCTGTTTCCAGTTCACTTACCTACGCCTGTCACTCCTCATGAAGGAGCATAGGCCACTGATCAGCATTCTCCACGAAACTCTAATTTAGACAATTCTTTCCAGTTACTATTTATCCTTTTGGTGTCTGCTTCCGATTCTTGACTCAGTGTGTTCTTTGCCATTCCTCTCTTCAGTTTCCTTTCATGATTCCAAGTTAAGGCTTGTCTTGTGATGCAGTTTAGTGATTTCCACAATGCATGCTCTATCCACCTCCACCATCTTTCCCTAATTTCCTCTTCAGCTGGAAGTTGGTATGTTCTCTCACACAGTTGGCTGCTGCTGATGGTGTCCGGTCAACAAAGGACATTGAGTATCTTGTGTAGACAATTGTTTATAAATACCTGTGCCTCTTTGATGATGGTTGTTGTAGTTCTCCAACTTTCAGCTCCTTATAGTAGAATCGTCCTAATGTTCGCATTGAACAATGGGACTTTGATATTGGTTGATGGTTATTTCTAGTTCTGTATGTTTTTCAACTGTAGGAATGCTGCTTTTATATTGCCAATCCTCGCCTTTACGTCTACATTGGATCTTCATTGTTCATCGATGATGCTGTCCAGGTGCATGAAAATTTCAACATCTTCCAGAGTTTCCTGGTCAGGTGTGATTGGGTCGCTATTCTTCGTATTATATTTCAGGATCTTGGTTTTCCCCTTGTGTGTGTTGGGGCCCATTGATCCAAAGTGTTGTGACTTTATGTCCGGCTAGTTATCACGTGATTTATCCACCTTTCAAAATACGACTTATAAAATCTTAGCACTGTGCCAAACCAATGGCCTTCGACCGGTATGAGCAGCCTAGCGTCCTTATTGGTCCTATGTTCGCCTAGCCCGTCCACTTGAGTCCAGAACACAAATACCAGCTTCCAATATGCGAATCAAATCATTTATTTCAGACATACTGGGTTTATATATCAGCCAAACAGACTGCAACGCACCATAAATTAGGAAATAACATTTGTACACAATAAAGCCAAAAAGTGGCTTTGAGCGTGGGAGGCAGTAGTCAATAAACTGAACATAGCTTAAGAACAGTAAATCGTACAATAATAAGATATAAATCAAAATTAAGCTTATGGCAGGGGGAATATAGATATATATAATCTAATTACTGAATATTCATTACTTACTTACGCCTGTTACTCCTCGTGAAGGAGCATAGGCCGCTCACCAGCGTTCTCTATCCAACCCTGTCCTGGGCAATCCTTTCTAGCTCCGTCCAGTTGTAATTCATCGTTTTCATATCTGCTTCTATTATCCGACGCAATGTGTTCTTTGGCCTTCCTCTTTTTCGCTTCCCTTCAGGATTCTAAGTTAGGGCTTGCCTCGTGATGCAGTTTGACGATTTGCGTAATGTATGTCCTATCCATTTCCATCGTCTTCCTAATTTCTTCTTCAGCTGGAAGTTGGTTTGTTCTCTCCCACAGAAGGCTATTGCTGATGGTATCCGGCCAATGGATGTTGAGTATCTTGCGTAGACAACTATTTATAAATACTTGTGCCTTCTTGATGGTGGTTGTTGTAGTTCTCCAAGTTTCAGCTCTATACAGTAGAACCGCCTTGATGTTGGTATTGAAGATTCTCACTTTGATATTGGTTGAAAGGTGTTTTGAGTTCCATATGTTCTTTAACTGTGGGAATGCTGTCCTTGCTTTGCCAATCCTTGCCTTTACGTCTGCATCCGAACCTCCTTGTCCATCGATGATGCTTCCTAGGTATGTGAAGGACTCTACATTTTCCAGAGTTTCGCCATCAAGAGTGATTGGATTGTTGTTTTCCGCTTTGAATTTGAGGACCTTGGTTTTCCCCTTGTGTATGTTGAGGCCTACTACTGCAGAGACTGCTGCTTCACTGGCTGTCCTCATCTGCATTTATTCGTGTGTATGCGATAGTAGGGCTACGTCATCTGCGAAGTCCAAATCGTCTAATTGATTTCGAGCTGTCCATTGAATTCCGTGTTTTCCTTCAGATGTCGAAGTCTTCATAATCCAGTCGACCACCAGAAGAAAGAGGAAGGGAGAGAGTATGCAGCCTTGTCTGACTCCGGTCCTTACTGGGAATGCATCTGTCAGCTGTCTTCCATGCACGACTTTGCACTGAAGTCCATCGTATGACTTCTGGATAATGTTGACAATCTTCTCAGGAACTCCACAGTGTCGAAGAAGTTTCCATAATGTCCTCCTATCTACACTGTCGAATGCTTTTCCATAATCAATGAAGTTGATGTATAGTGATGAGTTCCACTCAACTGATTGTTCGACGATGATCCGTAGTGTTGCAATTTGGTCTGTGCATGATCGATCCTTACGGAATCCAGCTTGTTGATCTCGAAGTTGGGCGTCTACTGCATCTTTCATCCGGTTCAGCGACACTCTGTTGAAGACTTTCCCTGATATTGACAACAGTGTAATGCCTCTATAGTTTTCACATTTGCTCAGATCTCCTTTCTTTGGAATCTTGACGAGGTGCCCTTCTTACTGAATATTCATACCATAAGAATATTTAAATAATATTAGTCCATTAATATAAACCCAGTATATTTAAAATATATGATTTGCATAGTGAAAGCTGGTATTGGTGTTCTGGACTCAAGTGGACAGGCTAGGCAAACATAAGACCAATAAGGACGCTAGGCTGCTTATACCGGTCGCAGATCATTGGTTTGGCATAGTGCTAAGATTTTACGTGATTTCTAGGGGCCCATATAGACCCAACTATAACATCAAAACGTAAAAAAAAATACAACAGAAATTTATGCATCTAACTAAATCTTACAAGTTTCAGTATGCAAAAATACTATAGTTTTAGTATTTAATGTTTGTATAACAAAAATATGAACATTCACTTCATGTAGAACAGTTCCATAGGTTTAACTTTGCCCAATACGTATTTCAACATAACAGTTTTGTTGTATGTAATGAAAAGTTCAAAATGTTGTTGATAAACTTACTACTTACAAAAGGACTTACTGATTTCGATAATAGTTGATATCCCTAACTGAAGAACAAAAATTTTCTGTAAGCTCATAGAAGTCGTTTGATTTGGTGGGAGGCAGACATGGACTAACTTGGTTTTTCTTCTTCTTAGACTATATAGTAATAATGCATTACTTAAATTAGTATTTTATTTACACAATTCCTCCATATGTTCTTTTTTTTTTTAAAAAAAAATAATAGAAATTCAAGTTACACATGAAACATTAAAGTTTTTCACTGATTTAGTTGCTAATCTTGGTCCAAAATTACGTACAGCTACTTTATTATCAAAAATTAGACGAGTTAGACATGGACCAATCACAGCGGAAAATTCATTACTTATGAAACATTTACATAATATACCTATTGAATTTTATCATGAATTTATTCAATGTATCAATGATATATTAATACAATATAAAAAACATGATAAAAATTTATTTATACCATTAGAAATGAATTTTATAGAAGATTTAAACTTATTAAAACTTTTAATGAATCGTACACAAGGTAAATATGGTTATCATGTATTTGAGAATTTATTTCAATGTAATCAATTATATTCAATAGGTTTTGAATATACTAAACAATATAAATATCATATGGTTCCAATAAATTTTTAATTATTATTTGTATATTCCTATAATGTGTACATAATATTTCAATATATTAATTGTATATACATTTCATGTATGATAACTTTCTGTTTATAAAAATCATCATTTTTTTTTTGAAAAATGTTTTGTAAACCTTTCTACGAAATAAGATTATATTATGTTAGGTAAACTTACTTTGAAAGTCTTTTGCTTGTTTATTATTATCATCAGTCCTACTCACTGACTTCTCGCGGTACTACAATTGTTTTCGAAATTGAGAAGACGAAAAGCAAACTTTCGTTGCTTTAACCGAGTTGGTGGATACGGAGGATCCACCTAGAAAAGTTGGAAAACCCTAATTCCAAACTAATGGTTTACATGGGCTCCAGGATCCTAAGGAAACAAATGACGTATGAACCAATTATTGATCATGAGCTACCATGTGACTGCATCTCCTTATGTTGCTCCACTACCTTGTGGATTAGACCTTTAGGTCAAAGGTTTAAGGTGTTGCCCTCTAAGAAATCCATCTGCTTAGGTCTGAGCACCTGGGCAATATCCCAGCCCTCACACAATTTGAATGAATAGTATATGTGTGGCGTATATATGTTTGGTGCCTCCGTGTACCAATGTTTATATGTTTAAATGAATATAAAATTATCAGTAGATGAAAATTACCTATAATCATCAGTATTTTTAAAAAAAATGAATGTGACAATCAAGTAAAAGTAAAGAATGTATGCACTGAATGATAACTATTCTATATTGGTTAATTAATAAAATCCAAGAAAATCAGATCATTGGCTGTTGGTAGCAACTTAGGATGAGGATTTCGATTGGTGACTTCACACGGGCCATAACTTCAACAAGGCATAACAGAGATTCGCTACTCCTGAATATATAGAACAAGAATGCTAGTTAACTTCGAGTAATCTCTGAGACTAAAGTGAGCGTTAAAACTTTTCGCAAGGTTCTGTAGAGTCCTGCTACTATAATTTCTGGTATGGTGTTCCACTACCTGCTGTTCCTTTTTCTCCAACTTTAACCTTAGCTGTAATTTGCAGCCCAAGCACATACAGGGACTGTTGAGATTATATAGGATATGTTAGATCATGATTGTATCCATCTATTCCTTCTGTATTGCACTTGTCGCGTGTTTAAGTTCATCTGACTAACTGAGCGGTTTTTATTTCTAAGTTTACATCCTTTTTTGGTTCCTCTGAACTGACTTTAAGAGCAAGATTCTCTTCTTATCTTTAGGGAACGTGATGTTGGCGTTTTCTCCAGACTATATATTTCGTAAATGCTCAAAAACAGCCTGGTCACAGGTCGCCTGATATATTTTATCTGGTTCATTATCTATAAATATATTTGACTATTTCAATCACTCGCTCGTAATTTAAATCATTGTTATATGGAAATATTTTTGCAAGTATTTATTACATGCTTTTTTCGTCACATCTTCAGCTTATTCTCCTATCCAATTAAAAATGTCGATCCAAACTTTTTCGAATAAGTTGTTGTTTACGCCTGCTTCATTTCTGATCTCGCTGTCTGTTTGGACAAATCAATGAGTAAAATAACTTTCATTACTGTTCCAGCTCACACAGAGTTATCTTACTTAAGATATAAGAAACAATCAGAGAATTCACTTTCATGATCCACTCATCCCTAGTTCCTTCATCATTGCTGATGGCTCCAAGTTGCAACATCCGCGATCGCTTCTCGTGAAAACTTGCTTATCAGTGATATCAACGGCCGTGAATTTTTTTAAAAATCTAAAAGCTGTCTCATAATGCTATGTCTCACTCAGTGGGTGATTAGGTCTTGCATCAATCGTTCACCTTCTTTTCGGCTCACTAAATCTTGTCTTACAGAATAACTCACTAGCATACTTTATAGAATGGTCGTTAAGGCTCTTATCTTGTATACATACGTTACAGCTACATCAAACTTGTTTCGTTAAACAGGTAGCAGACTACAGTTTGTTTAGAAATTGCAGCAAACAGCCCTACCAATAGTATCATAATTAAAAAGGCGACTGGGTATGTAGTGGTGTATGATATACAATCGATGAAAATGTGTTAATATTACAATAGTTGAAACTGATCGAAGCATCAGCTGTGAAGTTACTTCACTCTTAAAAAACATCTCTGAAAAAGTAAATGCGGTCTCAAAGTCTTCAATCTTTACTCGTTTGAAACCTGGAGTAAGACTCAATATTTGGTACAAGAGAAAGGAGGGTTTATTTGGCATTAGCTCTTAGCAATCTTTAAAAGTTTGGTTCTAATGAAGATATCAAGTGCACCACTTTTATTCCCTGGTAGCTTTGTGAAACTAATACCTGCTTTCCGTGTAAAACAGTCGGACAGGAGAACCATTTGCAGTGTTTGACTAGTTCCTCATTTGAAAACCCCTGAATGATGTCTGCTTACCTTAAGAGAGATATCGCTCTCTTAGATAATGTCTAACGAAGAGCGGTTGGAATTATACTCTTCCTCTAAGATAAACTCTACTCAGCTCGTCTTTACATATTTATTCTGATTGGATTAGGGAAGATGCGATAGAAATGCATAATATCACTTACAATCCTCTTCAGCTAACAGACTAGGATTTGTGCTGCACGCATCTAACATCGAGTGTGATATGGTAATTCCAGCTCATTGAGTATCTTTCAAGACAGGTATCAGTGTAACTTTAAGAGCCTTTTAGGACTTTTCGAATGAATGCATGAGAGAATCCCTTTACGTACAAACTCCTGAATGTAACTCGTTTTGCTTTCGGAAATAAAGTTACTATTCTTGATTCCATACATGCATTTCTTTGATCCTTTAGTTCCAGATAAGACAGTTATAGTTTATTTCTTATTGTAGCCTCTGTTTTTTAATCGTTTCTGCTGACTTTTTAAGATTATCGTTATCTGTTTCTACGTTGTTTTACTTGATCCTGATTATAAATGCCGCCGTGTCGATTTGTTCCCTCTCAGATTGTTTCACTTGAACAGATTGGAATAGCGTTTTGATTGTGAATTGAGGCACACTTTCATAACTGGAAGCACGCTGGCATAACGAAGTTTTCGAGTACTTTATGAAAATACTGTAAGCGATATTCCCAGAAGGAATAGAGTAATGTTCTTGCATTAGGAAAACACCAATTTTTGTAACTGAATGGGTTATTATACTGTACTGAACAGTTAATAATTGACATAATGGGTGGTGATATTTGCATAGTACAATTAATTCCAAACGAAAGCAGATTGGAATTAGTAATAACTCTGGAGGTTAGTTTAAACGCTAGATCCCTATCCTTAACTTTAACTGGGTAGGAGTACTCCGTAGTTTGATGTACAGCTGTCAAGACACATTAAGGCTGCTGGATCTGGTGATATGTTCCTCTATTCTTCATCTTCAGCAATCATGTATGCATAAGAGTTAAGTGTTGAAATGGGACTGAAGACGTCAAAATGCTTATGTATTAAATGCCTATAAGGTATCGGAAATTCGCTAAGTTGTCTGTTTGGCTGACATTGTACTTAGGTCTCCACGTTATCACATCAGGATCAATTCGTGGGCAAACAAAACATTCTGTGATGAAAATTGTAGTCGTTTGGATACCGGGATTCGTTAACTTATGGCGTTGAAATATTTTTGGAATAAAAGGATGATTACTACCATCAGAGACATCGCAGATGACTGATGTTTGAATATCAAATAAGATATCTTTCAATCCGTGTCATATGCTTGTTAATTAGCCATGTTTTCAAGATTGATATCCTTTTGTCATATTAGAGTGTTGATTTCTCTTCAAGATAAGGTATCTGTTATGATATTAGTGTGTCCCCTGATGAACCGGGAGTCGATTTAGATTTGAAACTTGTCGTTTAGGTGTCTAGCTTTTTGAGGCGAATGCCTATCGTACGATATGTTGAAGAAATAACGTGAAGGGTTGATGACTCACGCCCTTGTAATGGGGGTCTGAAATGTGTGTCAGCTAAATACATCGACAGTAATCCAACCCCTTAGGCACGGCTGCGTGTTTGAACGGGCAATAATCAGTTGAAAAAGAGAGCACTAAATGTTTGGTAATGTTGTTGAAGTTCTTTTGAAAAACTGTCTCCGCTCCGGTTTGCGAGACATCGTTGCACATAGTAAAGTCGGTCGTATGATTTAAGTTTAGATAGGACACCGTAGTGGCATCTTATCTCACTGTCGTTTAAAGTATAGGACGGGCAACTGAAAACAAACTTTCGTCCGCATCTTTACGGAGTAAATATTTCTAATGTTTCTGAACAGGATAGAAGGAGCTTTCGCTTAGTAGGCTACCGTAGCTAGTAGTAATGAATCACCGATATCTCCAGTCTGCGATCTAGGTATTTTTTGTAGTGAAATAGAAAAAATGCTCGCAAATTAGAATGACATGTTTTTTCTTGAAGAACTCCTGAAAAGTTACTTGGACCTCCCCAGCCGTTAGCGAACTCCAGATTTTGATTGCCCACGAGTAGTAAAGTGCGTGCCTAAAGTCAGTTAGGGTGTGTTGTGTTGGGACTAAGCTTAAGCAGGTATTTAGGAGGATGTTCAGAAGTATGTAGGATTTCCTACATCATTAAAAGGTCAGCCTAATACTGCTTTCCTCTAATGCGTAAAGGTTCAGTGATTAAAGGTGCTCTTAATAAGACTTGAATTTGATACCTTGAACTGGTTTCGTGGCTCGTTGAATATGTTCCAGCGTGTTCTTATCCTTTGGAGTGAGGGAGGAAACACTATCTTTCCATTCTTTAGATGGGGACAAATAAAACCGTTGAAAATTATGTGGGAAATTCTATCGAACCTGCCGAGAATGTGTCTCAACTTTACCACTGCAAGATTTGCTCGGTAGGCATTTTCGTTGAAGTCGATGTAAAACCAAAGACCGTAGGGTACCAGCGCTCCTAGATCCTTTCCAACTTGGGATACATCTGAAAGATAGCTATCCAAGTTGTAGTTGTAGTCTGCAACATGTCTCTGTCCGTTGTTATCTTCCCAACCTCGAAGTTGACTCAGATCCTCCTGAAGTTCCATCTTATCATTTTGGCTGTAAGCTACACAGTGTCAGTGAAAATTAATGACAGAATATACTTGCTGAGGAGAGTCGCTTATATAAATCAAGAAGACAATAAGTCTTAGTTCTAAACCCTAAGGGCCCCTACTAGGATAT